ATTAAATCAGCGCTTTTATATAATAATGTATTTGATCAAATTACCACTTCCCATAAATCCCTTGGCACCAACATGATTCACCACTGGCACAAGTGCTCCGGGTCAGAAATCAATTCTCTCCTGCTATTTTAGGCTCCATGACATGAAGGCATTTCATATCTGTTCAGATAAATAACTCGTTCAACACATGTCAGGACCAATGTGAGACTATACAGCAGGTGTAACACGGTGACTGAATCAAATATGGTGGCTTTGTACGCCCATCTAAGCGTTGGAAGTCGACGTGTACGGTAAATAGGACCCAGCTGGGACAGTGCAGAAGCTCTGACAACACCAGCAGACATGGACTGTCCTCTCCCAGCATTCCCAGCTTCTGAAACATGAGCTATCCAAAAATAAACAGGGGCTAAGGGTCGGCACATCCTATCACACACTCGTTTTCTTCCCATGCTGGTCGCGCTTTGCTCATTTAATATTGACCCATAAACAGCACACTTTCTTTGATCATAATCATGCTCTTAGCTGAGCGTTACTTTATGTTCATGCGGTTCTACCTCAAAAAAAGAGAAAGTTTTCCAGTTAAATATTTAAGCACACAGCAGTTTTGCTTCAAATCCTCGAAGCACCGAAAAGCTGAACTCCACCCTGACAGAGCCTTTGTGACTGGCCTGTTTTTCCTGCCTGCAGACATCTCCCCTCATGGCTCCGTTATGCTCACAATTAGATTCAATGATCTTCCCTTAACATCCTGCTGTTCACGGGGCATCACATGCTCCGCTAAGAGAATAATGTCCTGCCTCTTCCTGGCCTCAATCTGCCTCAGTTTGCTTCATCACCACCACTGAGAACTTGTAAATTACGCTACCCAGATATCTGCAAGAGGTCATGAAAAAGAAAGTAAAGAATATCTGATTAGTTTGGACTTTATTTTCTATCATGCTGCCTTTCACTGTGATCTTCATGTAGCTGCCATTATCACCTTTCATTTATTGGCTTTAGATCGTTGCAGCTGCAGTATTTGGGACAAATGTTTGAAATAATTAAGGGACACGTTTAGTCAAAATTATTTTCAGGTACAAAATGTAGATACTTCATTCTTGTTTTATCAAACATGCCCCACAGACCTAACATCACTGACACCACTCATGTTATAATGGTTACCTGATAAACTACTGGATAAAACAGGGATTTTACTTTTATAAATTTAAGCTTTGACGTGTTCCAGATTTTATGTTTCACAACCTGCATATGTGTGTCAAGTTGAAGTATTAGCTGGTAGTAGTGTAGTAGTACCACCGTAGACGCTGCTCTGATGCTTCGTAGCTGTGATAAAGTTTTAAAGTAAATGTATAATAAGTAAAAGGTAGTGATGGCAATGGCAGTAAAAGTATTAATAAAAGATGAAATGGCATAAAAGAAACATTTCCAGACGATACTCCAAAGTGACTTTACCGCAACTCAAGCAAAGAGCAGATGATAGATTCAGGGAAAGTGAGTAAAAAATGTTTGTTTTAGAAAGGAAAAGAAAGTCTGTTACAAATTAAACTCTTAAATCTTCAGTTTTCTACTTGAAAACAAGTGAAAATGTGTTTGAAATATGTGATAATGGCATTTTCACTTTAGTAGCAGACATGCAGGTGTCACAGAATGCCCTTATTTAATATAATAAAGCATATAATAGCATATATAATCCCTTTATATAACTGTGGCAAAAGGGGGCATTAATGTTTTAAAAGGGGCACTGGGTCCAGAGACTGTTATCACTATGTATAAAGTTGAGGTGACTTTGCCAATGCAAAACCGAAAAGCTGAAGTTTGCAGTATAATGACAGGCAGGCAGCCTTTGAGCACGGCGGCAGGATGACACAGACGGGAACTGGCCTGGAAACACATCCAGCACAACAGGAGGCTTCCAAATTACAGGAGGGGAGAGATGAAAGTGGGGCAGCCAATCGAGGCCAATGGCAGACAGAGCCAATATTAAAGCGGCAGCACACTCAAATTAGACAGTCAGGCACTCTGAAGTGTTTACAGCCTTAAAATATGGTGGCAAAACTGGGCTATGACTGGTAAACAGAGTGTATGGTAGTTCACAGAGATGGGTATATGGCCGATATGCTGTGTGTACATTTAGGCTTCGGTGAGAGAGATAATGCTTAGGATTTATCTT